CCTAATTCTCGCTTGTGCGTCCCGACGCCGGGTCGCGCAAACAGAGCGCAACTTATTTATTTTGCCGATGCGCAACATCCAACCCAACAAAATACGATCTTACACCCTATTAAGCTACGATATTACGAATGGCTGCGGTTGTGTTTGCAAGCTTGAAATTCAGTTCGTCAGTGACTTACCTGTGATTGCGTCCAGCGGCGTGATTCATTCGTCCGATGCGACAATAATCGCGCGCAAGAAATTCATGCTTAATGACATTCATGACTGTAATTAGCTTTTTGTAATTTTCTCTTCTAGTGCAACAAGACAAGACATGACTAAGTGAAGTTTTACTTTAATGCAAAATTGACTCTTGAGTTTGTTAGCGTGTCTTCATTCTTCTCGCTTTCTGGCAGGCTGAAATTGTAATTTTCCACTGAATAGAAACTTATAAACACTTAACGAGCATATACCGACACCACCAACTAAGTACCATTCGTAATTCATAGACGAGACTATTTAAAACCATCAGTAAAGTAAAATACAAAGATGATGCTCAGCATCTGCGCTCAATGAGTAGAAAACCATATGTCACTTCGCAATCAGCAATCGAGCGAGTCGATTTAATTGCGATTGTTTGATAATGCGATAATTGCGTGTATAACGCAATGCGTATTACGCGACACGATTGCATTTCTTTTCTCAGAATCTGTGCAGTGTTAGTAGCTCGAGTAATTAGCGGCAGGCGCAGACGCATTGGAAAGTCGATTTCTTCTCCACGTGCAGTATTTTGACCAGATAGATTACCGGTCGCGACATTGTTCGCGACATTGGAAAATTGCAGGCGAACTCTCAAACTCAAACAGGCAAACAAACAAGGAAGATTCGAAACGGTTTGTCAGCCGGCGTCGTCGTGCAGTCGAAGTGGAAAAGAAAGTTGCGTTTCTTTTTCGCGCGCACTGCGCTTAGCGCTAATATACATGTGCGCAGACATGCAAAACAAATCAGTTTCAGTGAAATTCGAAATTTGCCCATGCAAATTTGAACTTTAGAAAATCGAGAAACCATGTTTGGTTTGCAATTTGCATCAAGGGCTATAATAAAACTTAATATGGTCAAAATTGCAAATAACTTTAGAAATTCGTTAAACTTTCTTCCTCCAAAAAAACCGCCAACTTCGAAACTTCATTAGGTACGTGTTTGGTAACGTAGGTGTACACAAAATGTTTTGTTTACCATATTTAAAGTTTATTTTTGATCACGAAGTCAATCACCGCCAGGCTGGGACGTCACGACCGTGTTTGTTTATGCATCAGCGCAAAACTCCATCGCGTAATGCAATTAAACAATTACGACCGGCCCGAATAATTGCCGTTCGCGTTCGACGAGAATTAATAACTATCGAGTCAAAGACCTGTCGAGCTGCAGCAGCTGAAGCCCGAGGAGGATAAATTGATTTCTAGCGGAAAATCAAAACGAAAAACTTTGCGTTTATGAACAAAGCAAGACGATGAACGTTGTGCGCAGGAAGTGAACATGAACAAAGCACTTATTTATTATTGCGCAAACTATACGTAAGAACCGCAAAAAAACTGATTCATGAGTCGCGGATATTTAGATTTGTCATGAGGATGTTTTTTATGTTGCCGAGGCTGCTGAGATGTTAAGTCAGGAGGATTAAGTCTAGTCTAGCTAAATCTGGTTAGATACTAACTGCTACACGCTACTGGTTGGTAATAATCTCGCTGGAAATCGTAATAGTTGCGGGGAATTGCCGGAATAGTGGCTGCATGTTGCATAGCCACTACGTACGTAAGTACTGTAAACATATGCGGTCTGGCATGATGACGACCGAGACACAAAACGCGTACATATCGAAGAGCGGACGCATGAAAATCCGTTCGACGTAACACTTTTTCACGTCGCGACTGAGTGCACAGCGATCTGCTGGTGCGCGAAAAGTTTGCATGAAGTGCTGTAACACAACGTTTGCCATCGAGCGTTTTGTTTTGTTTACCTGCGAAAGGATTCGGCACAATCAACAACAGTAACAAATTTGATAAATAAAAATAACTGTATCGGCCACCTAACGCCATCTATCATCAATCTAGTGACATAGAATAAAATAATAGATATCTGAGATGATAAAAACGAAAACAGACGAATAAAAACAAACAATTCATTCTGAACAGTGAGTTGATTTGTGTTTATTTATAATTGAAACTTTAATGTAGCTAAAGAGCTATGCGTGCATACGAATTTCCTCGAACTCGCCGTGAAATCAAGTGCGAAACACGCGCTGGTGTGCAAAATTGGCGAAATTCATCGCACGCTGTTATTACTGTTACCGATTCGTTGGAAGTAGGATCGTTGCGCATAATTGCGGGAATGCAACGCTTGCTAATCGTCTGAAAACTGTTTACACGCAATGGCGAGAATAATAACAACTTCTGTTTGGATTGAATCCATCAGAAAATATTGACTTTGCATGGATGAGACGCGATTGTTCTTTTGTCGTACACATAATAAAACACTCTGACTACGTGTAATTTGACGCGGTAATGTCACGAAGATGTTTCTCGCGTTACGCGCATTTTTTGTCAACCTCAGAAATTGCGATTTCCTGTTATTAAAGCTAATTACCGTCTTGCGAAACAAAAAAAAATTCAAATTTCAGGATTTCTGCAATAAATAGCTGTGGAAACAAATTGTGTGGAAATGCGTTTTTATTTTTGTTTTCGCGGTGTTTTTATCGCGAATTTACGTTATTTCTGTACATGATAGGTGCATTCACACCGCGCAATGTTTTGTTTATTGTTTGTTTATTTGTTTTGATCATCGCCGCGCAAATTGGGTCATCAACTCACTCAGCATCGGAGTAAATCGTAACAGCAATTAAAGCGCCTTTTAACCAAACTGTGACTCAAGTAGGCGCAAGTGAATACAGCGTGTTGATACAAATATTATTGATTATTATTAACGCATGAGTAATTACGAAACTAGTTGGTCGCGAGCGGACGTACCGTCGAAGCAATTCTTTGTTCCTTTGTGAACTATTATACACTTGCGAGCGCAAACTTACCATCCGAACGTTTAATTAACAAGTTATGCGCTGGCACAACAATGATGCGACGATGTAAACACATGTAGAGCAATTAATCCGGCATTCAGCCACAGGCCAAGGAACCAACACGTTAAATGTTAATTTTTAATGTTGAAAAACACAGCCCAGTCGTCACTTTGCGTTGCGTTGAAGTCAAGCGCGCGTCAGAAGTCAAAGTTTCGATTGATTTAAGTCAAGTCGACTTCCTGCTGGGAAGCCGATAAGTAGTGCAACCCGGACTCGGGTGTAATTTAATATCGGACCGAGGACAAAAGTAAAAGTCACTTTTTTCTTGTGGTGACTTCTGGTTTTCGGCGTGGTCGCCGCGGCAGTCACGTTTGCACGTCGCGGGCTCGGCAAGCATGCGAGTACTGTTAGAAGATGCGTGAGTTATCGCCCGTCCGTCACTGGAGTGGACGACGTCGCGTTCGCCGCTGCTGAATTCACCGCCGCGCGCTGCACCGCCGCGACTCAAGTCTATAGAGCTGCGTGGTGGAGTAGTGAAGTCTCGCGGTGTGCGCCGCGCCGCGCGTCTCTTCGCCAACTGAGTCGGTCGCGCCGCCGCACCGCCGGCCTAACTCCACTGACTCACACTCGAGAGCACCGCAAAGCAGCCGCGAGCCATGAAGCAGCAGCAGCGCACTGCAACTTTTCTCTCTTCGCCTGCATTCATTCACATCCAGTACACAACATCCACACACATCAAATCCTCGTGCACACCACGAGTATGTGGGCATAATAATAGATTTAATGCCTGTTTGGCTACGGTTCAGCCCGGTTTTGTTACTTGTTTCCAATGCACTACTTTATTCCCAGCCAACATTAATAGCGGAATGAAAATCTATATTCAAATATTTATTCCCCCGAACACGCCAAACAAACGTCGCGTTCTCTTCGTGTGTGCATATTCGCCCTGATGGCAAAAGGTGAGCAAGAGGCATACACTAAAACAGCTCTAAATCACATGCGAGAGCGTCGAGGCGAACTTTTACGACGCAGTGGCCAGCACGGCACGACTCGGCTCCTTCGCGAGTCCGCAAAGAGCAACAGGTCAAGCGTTGCATTCGCGCGCCTTTCGCATTTGCATCGCAAAAAGAGCGCGGCCCGCGCGCGAAGCGTCTTAATAACGCACCTCGACGAAATCGAAACGGTTCGCGGCCGGCTCGTTACTCGCGATAAAAATAGAAATAATAAGCGCGCGATGATCGACGCCTCGCGAACCATATCCACACACACCGCGAGATTCATACAGTCAATCGTCTTCAACAACAAAAACCAACACAACAAGTGTTAAGCAGCGTAGAGAGCGTTACGCAACGCCGAGGGAGGAGGCGATGCATTGACGAAACACCAGACTGGAATTTCCATTCTTTCCCATTCACTTCTTCAAATGCATATCGTCATTGAATCGTCTGTTCGAAAGTTCGAATTCGAGCGGGTAATATTCATACAGCACGATGTTAACTCAAGCAATAAATAAATTGCGCCTGGCTAATATTACAAGAGTAATAAGTCCTTGAAGTTTATCTTTAATGCGGTAATAGTTTCACTGCTTTAATATTATAACAGCGCTAATAAAAAAAATTCTATCGATCGGTACAATAACAAGCATTATTCGATAAATTTCCTACGAAAGTCAACTCGATATCAGATTAAACCACAATATCGTATTCCGCATTCTTTTCTGTATATATCGTGAGTTAAATTCGACGAACGTAAATTTAACATAGGCCACACGTCGTCTTATGGTGGTTTTAGTTCGGTCTACTGCCGCAGAGATGGCGCTACGTGTATAATTTGACTTAAAAATAAAGTCAAGTCGGCGGAACATACTTATCTTGTTATTTTGTTTGAATCATCAAGGTGTAACATAATTTTCGGCGTTTTTTTACAGAGAAATAAAGAAAAAAATGGTTACCTTCAAGTACGTAAACAATGCTGCCCACATCACCCTCTTTGATGATAATGCTGCCCTGCTGGTACTCCTTCGGGTACATACAATCGACGATTTCACGAATTTGAGTCGTTTCCAGGTTCTTCATAAAATCATTGTCTAGGATTGCCGCTTTGATCAATTCTTTTGATCTGAAACATAAAAATTTTTACATGAAAAATTTGTTACGATGTATTTCCACCCAAAAAAATTATTTATCGGTCGTACTTATTGCTCTTAGGCACCCTCTCAACTTTGGCGTCGCTGAGCGGTTGTGGTTCAGCACTGATCGCCAACCGCTTGATGCGTGGTTCAATCAACCCCACAAGAACAGCATTGCGAGCGTCTGCATCGGCGGCGGCAGCGACCCGATCATACTCATGGATGATTTTCTGCGTGAGCGGATTCACGACCTGCCGATACTTATCCAGCTCATTGCGTAGATGACGCAGTTGCAGATCGCGCGCGTCCAATTCGCGTTCGAGGCGATTCGCGCGCGCCTCTTGCCGCTTGCATTCCTCCGAACGCTCTTGCAAGAGGCGGCGCATGAATGCCAACGATGTTACGCCTCCAGCGCAGGATGCGGAGAGCGCATCGCGCGGGGGCGGCCGGCGCGCCTCTTCACTGCGCTTGTGCATTAACTTAGCGAAAAGATTCCAGCAGCTCATTGTGAGAGCAACTACCACCTACTACCGCTTCCTTACATTGCCAGTGCATGTAAAATTCTTGAAAACGACAAATTCCACACAATTAAGTTACCACATGCGCGCATTGTGTAAAAATCATTACGGAGAGACTTCATAATTGCTGACGCAATTTCTGCCAGTCATCGTCTATGACAGCTTAGCCACTGTTTGTGTTTACAGTCGTTACAGATGTTTGTAAACGCGAGTTTTACAAACTGGGTTTCGACTGTACTTTGATACGTGACCTTCCAGCTAATTGCATGTTACAGCTAGCCTCCTCATAACCAACACTCTTGCCCGCTGTGTAACAAACGTATCTAATCACAGTAATCATGCACCGTTAAAAATTGAAACGTAGAGTTCACATCTGATTCAAAGCTGCGCTTGAAATTCTATTGCATCGCTGTCGGACGTGTATGTGTGCGTGTGTTGAAGTAGGAGTTCATTCTGGTGGGTATGAAACGATGAAGCTTCTGGACAGATTATTTTGCGCTCAGCCATTGCAACGATTCAGTTTCTACCTCGCGCGCATAGAAACCACTTGATATAGTTTTTATATCTAAAGTATCACCCGCGGTTGTCGAGCTGATTAGAACAATTGTTTGAAATTTGAACAATCGCTGCGTTCGGCACGTGCAATTAATAATGTTGATGGAAGTTGTGCTGACTTTGGTTGTAGGTTTTGTGGGTGTTTGGTTTGTGGTCTTTTGGTCGTATTACAGGCATATTAAGAGGGTACCATCGCCAAGATTATGGCCAATCATTGGAAATGCTATGGAATTTACGACTACATCAGGTAAACCGTTTAAAAGTTTTAAAGTTCATTAAAAGAAACAATTTTGTTTGCATTTGTAGAGGTTCTTACTGTTCTGGACAGTTTGTACAAAAAGCTCAACACGAAAACTTTGAGAATTCATATTGGTTTTCGTACTTTGGTACAAACAAAAGACTACAAATTCCTTGAGTTTTTGCTAAGTAGTCAGAGTATTATCAGTAAAGGAATAGGGTATTCCTTTCTACATGAATGGTTAGGTCTAGGACTACTTACATCTGATGGTATGTCAAAAAATACTTGAAATTACCCGTATAAGGTTTTAAAATAATATTTAGGTCAAAAATGGCGTACACATAGAAAAATGATCACTCCGACATTCCACTTCAAGATTCTCGAAGAGTTCATAGATGTATTCAACTCCAAGGGGAAGATTATGATTGAAAAACTGCAGAAGGAAGTTGGAAACAAAAGTTTTGATGTATTCCCCTATGTTACACTTTGCGCCCTGGATATTATCTGTGGTAAGTCCAGGTTAACCAAAAACACTACAAAAGTCTTTAACTTATATATCTTTGAATGTTTTTTTCTGAATAGAAACTGCGATGGGTACCTGCGTAAACGCCCAAAACGAAGAATCTTCCCTGTATGCTAAATGTGTCAAAGACATGGGCCGCATCATACAACAACGTGGACTGAACCCTATCTACCATTACAAAGTTATCTATCAGTTCACAAAGCTCTGCCAGGAAGAAAAGGCTGCTTTGAAGGTGTTGCATGGCTATACCAATTCTGTAATCAGTAAGAGACGCGCGCAATTGGAGGCAGTAGCAAAATCCACCCAAAAAACCGAGGATGATATCGGTCAGAAAAAGAGGACCGCCTTCTTGGATATGTTACTGCAAGCCACCATCAATGGGGTACCCTTAACGGATAAAGAAATTCGAGAGGAGGTGGACACCTTTATGTTTGAAGGACATGATACCACTGCAGCTGGTATCTGCTACACTCTATTCAACCTTGCTAATCATCCCGAAGTGCAACAACGTGCGTTTGAAGAATTGAAGGATATCTTCGGAGATGACACAGAGAGGGAGTGTTCGTATCAAGATCTCCAGGAGATGAAATATCTAGAAATGGTCGTGAAAGAAACACTCAGGTTGTATCCATCGGTACCCTTGTATGCAAGAATGATTAAAGACGATGTCACCTACAGTAAGTCCACACATAAACAGAGAATTTGCGAAACAAAAAAATCTGAATCAATCAATTTACAGATGGTATGGTCCTACCCAAAGGTATGACTATTGGAATCTACGCTTATGGTATCCAAAGAGACCCCGACTACTTCCCGAATCCGGAAAAATTTGACCCGGAGCGTTTCGCACCCGAAAACTACGACGGAAGACAACCCTACGCCTACATTCCATTCAGTGCCGGCCCTAGAAACTGCATTGGTAAATTGACAAATAAAAATAATTAACTTTCAACTATCCCTGTTTATAATTTTCAGGTCAAAAGTTTGCCATTTTGGAAATGAAAGCTTCAGTGAGCAAAGTTTTGCGACATTATAAACTGAAACCGGCAACTCCTACACACCACCTCCAATTGGCAGCAGAATCAATTCTGAAGGCAGTGAACGGCGTCAAAATAGCTATTGAGAAACAAACTTACTAAAATCATGTAAATTCAATCACTGTAGCAGGTAGTTAACCGTAGAATGTATTTTGAGTAAATATAGAATTACTATACATAAACTAAATTCAAAAATACATTAAGTACCTTAGCGATATCGTTCATTCGAATAACAACAATCTGGCTGGAGATAGTAGTGAACAAAGTCCAAATTATATAAATACGAGCAATAATTACAAGTCATCCTGGTGGTTCATATAAATACGAGTAAAGCAGTGCACTGAGCAAATACATTTTCAATGTGATTAGAGTGTTGATCGTATATGGTTGTAAATTCAGTTATTTTGAAAAATGTGGTTCGAGATCTTGGTGTCGTTGATCATAGGCGTGCTGACATTCTGGTGTTATAGATATTACTATTATTATAGTTATCTGAAGGTAATACCTTCACCCCGAGCATGGCCTATCATTGGCAGCGGTCTGGAATTCAAAAACCCTGAAGATTCAGTGGAAACCATGCTGGTATTGATGAATAAGTTCAAGACGGATTCACTTAGAATCCATATTGGTTTCCGAGCAATTGTGATGAGCAGGGATTATAAATTCATTGAATTTTTACTTAGTAGTCAAACAATTATGAACAAAGGTCTGGGTTACAAGTTTTTCACACCCTGGTTGGGCCAAGGTTTGCTAGTGAGCACAGGTGATACCATCCTCAAAATAAATACTCTTCGGATTTCCTGAGATATATTTTAGGAGAACATTGGCGTACGCATAGGAAAATGATCACCCCAACATTCCACTTTCAAATCCTGGAGCAGTTCATTGACGTTTTCCACTCGAATGGTACGATTTTGATCGACAAACTTCGAAAACATTTAGGAGAATCTAGCTTTGACGTGTTTCCTTACATTACATTATGTGCCCTGGACATTATTTGCGGTAACATCGAACAAAGTGTTATTTATACACTCCATTAGCTAAACAAGCACTCCGATTCTAGAGACAGCAATGGGTATATCAATCAACGCGCAGTTAGAGGAACACTCCGAATACGCGACGTGCGTCTCAAATATGGGTCGTATCATCCAAACACGTGGCTTCAATCCATTCTTGCACTATGACAGTATTTATAAACACTCTAACCTCTATAGAGAGGAACAGAAATGTCTGCAGGTATTGCATGGTCGTACAGATTCTGTGATTCAAATGCGTCGCGAGAATATACTCCTGGAAGGTAGTAAGAAAGAAAAACCAGCGGAAACTGATGAACTAGGTCGAAAGAAGAAGGTACCTTTCTTGGATATGCTACTGCAAGCCTCCATTGATGGTAGGCCCTTGACCAATACAGAAATTCGTGATGAAGTGTCCACGTTCATGTTTGGGGGACATGATACCACTGCAGCTGGTATCAGTTTTGCTCTTCACAGTCTAGCTAACAACCCAAGAGTCCAAGATAAAGCCTACCAGGAACTAAAGGAGATTTTTGGAGATGATAAAGAACGACCATGCACATACAACGACCTACAGTGTATGAAATATCTAGAGCTGGTCATTAAGGAGACTTTACGTTTGTATCCTTCTGCTCCGTTCTATACCAGGACAGCTGTTGAAGATTTTACTTATGGTAAGGCATTTTACTGATTTCTAAGCAAAGAAAACTTACTTAATTTGTTGTAGATGGCATTACCTATCCGAAAAACATGACAATTGGTATTTTGGCTTATGGTATCCACCGGGACCCAAGATACTTTCCTAACCCCTTGGAATTTCGCCCGGAACGCTTCTCACCAGAGAATTACGACGGAAGAAAACCGTTTTCCTTCATTCCCTTCAGCGCAGGACCCAGGAACTGCGTCGGACAGAAATTCGCCTCTATGGAGATGTTGTCCACACTAAGCAGGATTCTCCGCAATTTTGAGTTATTACCAGCTACTCCAAAACACACCCTTAAAGTAGCAGCGGACACAATTTTGCGCTCAGCCAACGGCATGAAAATTGCTCTCGTGGAACGCAAATCAAAATAAAACACATAATAAAATCCTTGAAATCTGTTCATGGTCAAATTCAAATTTCCTCTCGCATGTAAATCAAACCGATGAAGACATCTCAGCAGGTTGTCCAGCTGATTGGCAGCTACCGGTCGCATGAATCGACCTGCCGCCTATATTCTTTTTGTTTTTCGCGCACGCGACGTTACGTAATCATCGGCTAGGCGAAAAGCGATTAAAAACCAGAACCAGATGGCCGCATCTATTCTCCAGCGCGCGTGTAGCTGCCCCCATCAACCCATCTCTATCTCGCGCTGCGCACATGTGCGCTCGCGGTTTGGTTTATTTATGACGCGGCGTGCACGCCACGCGAAGGTCGAACAAATATAAAACGCGGAAGCGAAAAATTATTATTAAAGTTCAAACACGAGCAAGCGCCCGGTGTTCGCACGTTGGAAATATTTTTATCACGTTTACACAGCGGGGGTTAAACGTTAAACAATCAAATTTTAAACAAAAAAAAAACAAAATCTTCAAGAGAAATCATGCGTTTGACACCTGCATGACCTGCAACTGTCACATTAATTTATCGTCCGCTTTTGTTTCGGCGTTTTTTAACGCGTTGCATGAAACAAAAAAACGCAAGAGAGTTTTGTATGCACGCGAGAGGCGGACATGATTGAAATAATTCAAGAGGCTTCATCAGGTGGAGTCGAAATCGTGTACCTGCGTCGGCCACTACAAACGCATGCTTGCAATGAAATCAGCGCGCGTCATTTATTCCTGGAAAATTTAAATAGACTGCATCACTGCACACAGAAAAAACACACCAACAAAGAAAACGCGCAGCGCTGAGTTATTAATGTAGTTCAATTACACGAACGAGTTGCGAATAACTCATCTCACTGTCGACTCTCGCCAGCTTTCGAGCCTAATCACTCATCAAGGTATTTCAAACCGGGAATGCCAGCGGATGAAAACCACGGGATTGTGATTAATTGGTTGACACTACCGTTTAGGTAGTTACTAGATGAGCGATTTGTTGGCGATATCAAACGCGACATTCCTCTGTTTTGCCAACACGACACTCCAGCATCAGAGAATTTCAACATACAGTGTGTTTGAATGCGTTAATTAAACGTTTACTTCCCGAATCGAAGTGAATTGTCGTTTTTGGCTGGAGGACGCAATGTAGTGGCGACGACCAGAAAGGAAACCGACCCGCGAGCCACAACTAATCATGAATGAACTAATCGCTGGACATAAATAATGTGTTAATGCGGAATTCGGGCGGATGCGTCCGACGATTTTGAAATTAAAACGCTCGGGCTGGTCGAAATCCCGAGCGCAGATAATGATAAATCAAGTTGTAAATGAGCCAGTTTGCGAGTCGCGCATTTGATTTATTGGCTAGTTGCGGCCGGGAATTTAAATTAAAAATTGCAAATATTTGTTTAACGACAGCGCAAATCAATTAGCAATTAATTAATTCATAGATGTTTACAAAATCGTGTAAATGTTAGCTGTTGCATGCCAAAAACGCGTCGAGATTTGGACCTCTTCACAGAGAAATCAAGGTAATAAAATTTAGAAATTACACATTTCTAAACGTTACTTATTTTCATTTAAAAAATGTGCTCATTAAAAAATCAACTGATGGTTTTCCACTACGAGTGTAATAATGTAGTAGAAATTAAACGTTGCGAAATCTCATGTCACATTTAATCATGTTGAAACGCTGTAGCAAGTTTACATTATAGACACGCATTATTAAAATTAAAGCAAATTATCATTTCGATCCGATTGCGCAACCATTCGTGACATAATGATAATGACGGCGCGTCAACAAAGGAGCACATTACATTTTATAGCCGCGTATTTGTTACGTTGAACCGAGTGATTAATAACTTAATTTCTGCGGAACAATGCAGTCTCATAATTCAACAGTTGCAAAAAGTTGATTTGCGGTTATAGTATCAAATGGATAAACGGGAGTTTTTGTCACGAGAGTGATTTAGACCGAGTGTTTAATAAATCGAGTGTTTAACAACGTTTAGTCCCGTGATGTGCACGCTATTTTTTTAGTTCTACTCTATGTCCACGATTTTATTTTTTAAATCTTCGAAATTCACTCGAACACTACTGGAAGATATAAGGTAGGCAAATGCGCAGGCGCAAAAGCTCCACCCCGTGACTAAAGCCCATGACTAAAGCACTTTAGTCACGACATTGGCCGTCCGTGATTAAAGTACCACTTTTTGTGTCTCAAAACCGCGGAAAAACTGATGGAAGTAGAAAAAATGATTATTACATTATTTATAAACAAATATCGCCCTCTATCGGCAATAAATTAAACTAATCTAATACTTGCACCTTTTTGCAATACTGATACAAACTTTCCGAATTGTTGCATCCTGACGAGTCAATTAGTCCAGGCGTATTTTGACAAATTAACAAACGACGCGTCGCGCTAATTAAAGCGAATAGCGATCGAGAGGAAGCCGACCGTGCGCAAACAGCAAATTAACAAATGTAAACCTAAAACCCGACACAACACGCTACGCTGCTCCAGCACATATGCTTTGTGAGTACATTTGTTAACTTCGGCGTGTATCTTGTTCGGCTGTCCGCTTGTCATGTCCAGGCTTGTTACATCGGCGTCGACGAAAACAAATAAATAAATTAAAAAATAACCGCGCGCCGCAACGCGACTTCTTCTCTATTCGGCACGCAGGTCACCCGATCACGCTCATGCTCTGCGTACAATTTCATATAGCGATTCGCGAATCTAATATCGCTTTTTTTTACGACCGCAACGTTTTTATTGGCTTGACAACCGCTGTGCTAGATTCGGCGGGATTTCTTCTACCCGCTGGATTAATTAATTAATTAACCAACACATTAATTAATCGCGCTTTCGAGGCTGGTCGAGGATGGTGGAAGCTTTTCGGTGTTCGACACCGCGTATTAATGTTCACATGCCGGCTGATTTGAATTTTAATAGTCGCAAAAAAAGGCGATCGCGATAAATACGTTTCAATATAGCTTAAGACACAGCACGTCAGGATGATTCAACACTACTTAAGTCCACTTATGCCAATAACCTTTCGTTTATTGGCTGGCGTTTTGAAAAATCGGCACATTTTCAATAAAGTCGTTTAAAAAGCGCGTCAAGTTGGCATTTACAACAATAGGCTGGCTTACGTTATGTCTTAACTGACTTAAGTCGCATACGCCGGCGCAGGCAACTTTCTGATGCTATCGATGTACGCACCCCGCCGCGTGCTGTCAGTGTGTCCGTCAATTAGAGATACTCCGCGGCCATATTGTCCTCTGTCCACCTGTTTTTACGAGTGCTTTCAGTTTTTATCGCTTTTTTATGATTTCGTTTTATTAAAAATTTTACGATTCCATTAATGAAAGGATTAATACTTTATTATATTTTATAGCGTTTCGTGGCACGCTTTGGCGCGTCGAATTCGAATCTCTCGCCGCATTGTTTGTCGAATTTCGCACACAATTCGGATCTATTTAGTCCGGCTTACGCAACGCGCGCGAATTAAACGGAAAACACCAGCGCACACCTGCTGCATTCGCAGAAATTTAATCAGCGTGTAACAAATCGGTAATTTTTGTGCCATAATTAGGCTCGGTGCATTGCAAACAGCAGGCGGTCAAAAACACCGCCGACTCTACGTTTCATTTCACCAAATTAACAACATACCTATATAAGACGCAATGAAAGTCTTAATTTACAACATTATTAAATCAAAAATTGAATATTTTTGCGTCGCATGGAAGATATTTCTGTATTTTCTTAATCTCCTGGTTATGACATGTTCAGCATAACATCAGATATTATATTAATATCTAAATTTAAGTAATTCCCCAATCCGCACGTGATAACTTAATCGAATGTATGATTAATGTCGACATTCCTATGAAATAAATCACAAAGTTTTGCCGATGCTGTAAGATATTTATAAATTATAACCAAAAACACGCGATTGGAAAAAATGCGCGGCGTGTAAATATTTAGATTTTGCTAACGTGCTACTGTTGAAATTTAAAACCCCTCACAAAAGTAACAACTCGACAAAATTTACTCAATAAATAGACACAATTTTTTTGTTGTTGTTGCGATCACAATTCACTGGTTTGTTTCGCGCACTTTGATGACACTTCACACTTGAATTTCCGATGCGATTTTCCGCACTTTCGCGAGCGCGCGCAGAGCAGAAAAAACTGCGAACGCGAGTGCATTTGTCGAATGACCGATTCGCACTGGAACGACGGAAGATGGCGAGATGGTGAGATGGCTTTTAGTTGCGCACGTTTTGCCTCTCGGTTACACGGTAAACGGCGTAAACTGTAAACAGAAAACGCACGCAACGCGAGCGCGTTTTAATTCGAGCGTATTTCGGCCAGCGGCTAGCAATTTTTGAGAGGCGCGCGGATGTTTCATTACCAGTGCCACAAACATAATTCCAACAAAAACGCGAAAATTCAAATTAGATTCATCACCGAATGAAAAATAGAAATAAACGCGAGATCAAATGAAACCAGAAAATATCCCGATGATGATGATGATTTATATAACAAGCAAAAAATGATCACGTGCGCCATTGGCGCGCATTGGTTAAAGTGACTTAAGTCAATTGGATTTTATTGAAATGTGCATTCGCTTGGCGACACAACGCCAACATTGAACGCGTACAAATCATCGCTAAAACCATTCTCGTGATTCATTTCGGTTGTATCCTTCTGCATTGGAACATTTAAACACATTTTTCTCTTTAACGGTTGAAGTGTTTTATTGCCAGCGAATAAATTTACGCAGAAAAATTTCCAGCCGAGTCAAAATATTTCGCCGTTTATTAAACAGAATATGCAGGACTAAGCCGAAATTAAAAGCCAACTTGAATGTTTACAGCTGGAAATTAAAATGCTAGATCCGCGTGAAGGAATGCTTTTCAAACATCGCGCCGAAAACTTACAAACTTCAGGCGTAAACAACGCGAACTTCACTTAACGCCCTCGTAAATCGCGACTGACGTTTATTT